GTTTCAGTGAATACAGAGTATATTCCAGCATTCTACCTTGTTATCCTATTTCTTTTTAACTTGCGTAATCAACCCTTCCCATTGTTCTAGTGTCCACACGCTTGTGTTTTATGCTGACTTGGCATAAATGAGGAGATTCCAAGTAAAGCTACACGAATTCTGAGTCTGAGATCGGAGCCCATGACAGTGATATCAGAGTCAGCCCTAAACCATTCGATCCACGGCACCTCGAGGGAAGGTAGGCAAAGTGACAGCTTTGTGACGAGGACGTCACGAGGTTAGGTGGAAGAGAATATCATGACCTAAGAAAGAGTCTTAAATCCCACATCGAACATAATAGGAAGGTCACTAGGGTATAAAAAGGTTCACACCATCTCTGCCTTGTAAGACCCTTTTGTAGGATAAAACTATAAGGTCAGAGGGGCAGAGCGAATAATACCTCACAAAGGTGTGAACCATGGCAAGAAGACTGATCTGAGATGTCGGATGAGTGAATGTTCAGGTCCTGAAACCGCGTGGATTCAGAGATTAAGCTCGATTCGTGACAATTTCACTAACTTCTTTTGTTAATGCAAAAAATTTTGAACTATTCCAACGAGAATTCATCACTTTCATGGCTCCAAATCCCCTGCTCCTCGAATGAATGATTTCCATGCTTCGGACAACTCCAAATTCAGATTCCTTGAACTATCTTGGATCCTGCAGCCTTTGGCTCAAAAGGTACATTCCAAAGAGATGAAGACTTTATGAGAAAGTTGAAAACAATTGATTAGGTTCGAAAGAAACATCAAAAGTTGATTTCCTAAAAGAAGCCAGTTATGGGACATTGCTTGGTTCATCATCGCCTCACTGGCAGAGCAATGAGAGTGATTCAATTGATTTTGGAGTCAGCAAAAATGAATGTTAATAAATGTATAGAAGAAATAGTAACAAATAATTTTCTCATTGCTCTTTTTTTTTGTTTCATGAAATTTCAACCTCTCCATCTTTTCCTTTGCAAATAAACTCATCTCACCGAGATTCTTAGTCTTCAAATATCTCCCAAGAATCAAAATGACAAAAGCCCATCTTAACCCTCAAGTCTTAATGCCTGAAACCTCTAGTTCTCAAATTTGAGCAAAAAAAATCTTAAAAATCAGAAAGAATATAGCAAGTCACTTGCTTACAGCAATAATAATTTCAAGCATGAACTCAAAAAAATGCTTATAAAAAATATAATGCATATGGTTGCAACAATAGTAATTTCAAAAAAACATCACTGCATAATCTAAAATTTTCCCATCTAGCAGGGAATGCATTTCCTTCAATACAGTACACAGAGAAGTGAATCTTCTAACTACAACACCAAACAAATTAAGAAATAAAATGTTCATGGCTGCAGGCCTTGAAGCAAAACATCAATGAATGAAACAACATTTAGTTAGTTATATTTGAATGAAAAGTAAAATTGTAAACCATGGTAATGACATAATACAGGACATGTGTCACCAAAAGCAGGTAATGCAAAGTGAAAATATGTCATTTTCTTTTATCTTTCAAGCTCCATACCCTCGATTTTAAAACTGACTCTGATATCACTGAGCTAAAGTTCTCATATATATATATATATATATATATGTCCTTTTTCCTGTAACTCAAAACAAGTTGACTATATAAAATTTTCACACCCTAAAGCTGAGGGTTTAAAATATAACAACATCACATACTCATAGGATAAATCACATAAACATGTAAGGTAACAAATACCATACTGAGTAAAGATTCAGAACCTCAAATTTTTTTCAAGATAACACCATACAGAATTTCAAAGTCTCTATGTATAATATTTTACAAAACCTAAATTCTCCATAATTCAATGATATAATTTGGTCAAGGGTACAAAAATTTCACTAACTAACAAATTTACTAACGATTGATATCCAAACTACTCACATTTAAGAAACACGAGACTAAAGGCTGATGCTAAACTTGCTAACAAAGGTCTCGTCCAAAGTAATCCTATAGAGGTGCAATTATCGAAAGCTGAACAATAACGATTAAAGGAATGAATACAAAGATTCAGCAAGCAACTGACATCCCCTTATGTGGACTAAGCATGCTTCAAAACATTTTAGGCCAAATGACAACAATAGTTTATAATACAAAAGTTTTAGGTAATCATGAAATTGGAAATATATATGATTTCAAAATCTTATATCATACATTAACAAAACTAACATAGTTCACAAGTTTTAATTTCATAAGTTCAAGCCAAGTTTCATCAGTAATATTATACAAAAATTTAATATGTGTTATATTCAAAATAATATTTACTCAAGATTGGATTCTCACACCACAAAACAAAATGAAGTTTCACAAAGCTACCAAATATAACTATTTAAAATCACAATTGGTTAATTTGGCTTTCATAATTATATTTGCTCAAAGTCAGCTTCTCAAATATCAAACCTAAACAATAGTTTACAAGATCATAAACTTTATAAGTTTTATGTGACATTGGTTAGAATCACAACAAAACAGCCACAATTAACCCCAGTAGGAAATATCAAAAGACAACCAAATCCGCTGCCACTCGACACATACTATTCTACTAAAACCAATGGCAATGGTACAACAACAGCCACTATTCTTAATGAATGAAAACTACTATTCTATATCCGGTAGCATAGTATGAAAAACCATTATTCATAAATTGGTGGCATGATATGAAAACAATATTACATCACAATGTACACTCGGACATGACTATGTTTAAACCTTATTGGCAAGGGTTTAAGCAAAAGCTATATTCATGAACTTCCTGAAATACATCTCATATAAAACCACAGCTCACGTATTCCTTTCGAAATACCTTATGCAATAATTTTACATTCTCAAAGATAGGAATTATAGAACATATATATTGGACAAAATCATGTTCAAAAGATTAAATATAGTACAAAACTACATTCCAAATTTCCCATAACAAGGTTTATATTCCTTTCCAAAATATCTTATGCAAAAATCTGTGTCATAAAGATTTATATACACATAGATATTATGACAAAATTATTATGTTCAAAAACTAAAGCAAAAAAAATCCACATTTTAAATTCAAAACAAAAAAGTCATATATACTTTGCATGCTTAACCAAATTTAACAAGTCAAGGGTCAAAATATTATACATTTCATACAAATATAATCATATTTGGGCTGACCTTTAAGGTATGAAAATACCAAAGAAATCAAGTTACTTCCTTGATTTGCTGAATTGAGGGTACGAAACAAATCACTCAAATATCTTAATAACCTAATAATTCAAGAAATATTTCAGAATTAGAATTTAAACATAAAACATAAACTCAATAGGTACAAATTCTCAGTGGCCATCCTAAAGCATCTAAGGCAAATGGCAACTTCCTTTACAAAACTGAGACTATTTGAAATATGTATTCCTTTTATTGAAACCATGTTTCCTAATAATTTGGATTCAAAAATTAAAGAAAATAGAAATTAAATTGGAAAACAGAAAATCATTAGCA